GAAGAGGTGTTATCTCCAGCCAGGGAGCTATTTTTAGGAAAGCCACTGGCTAAAACAACTATGATTGAGCACACTTAATCAAATGCTTGTTAAGAAGGTGACAGTGGGTGGAGGGGAGGCAATTGGACTTCTCATTAGGATCACTTCTCTGAAGGACACCCTATAAAACATTTAACGAGACACTGCCAGTGTCCTTTTAGTCTTCTTTCATTTCATCACACACACTCAGTACTGCTCTATGAAGTTTCATATAACAGAGTTTTCTCCTTTGTGGCAACTGATAAAGGTTAAAAAGAGGAGTGCAGCAAGTAGAAAAAAATCCCCAAGGAAGATGGAATATCCAGCAGGAGGAAAGGCAATTTCTGGCAGCAAATGAAGCAGGAATGTATTGCAGATTTTACGATGGAAGGAGGTATTGTTCCCTGATGGGCTGGGAAAGAGACCACAAACTTCTGTCCCTCCTGCCCCCTGGCGTGATCCTGGTTTTATCAAAGTATAGGAGATCGGCTGTTGCTTTCAATGGGAGTGATATTTCATGAGTATGGCTGTCTGGACAAATGATTGAATTCCTGGGGACATTTTAAATTCCTGAAAGAAGCTGCAAAATAGAGTTCTCCTTGTTGAGCAAAAGCTTATGCTAGCAAGACCAGAAACGAATTTCCTGGAATCAGTGGATTTGGGCTGTGTTTGTTTGCAAGAGAGAAAAAGGATGATAACCATAACAGAACTTGACAGTACGGGATAAACTATTAGAACCGTATACAAACCTTTTAGATCCCTCAGTACAAACATGTTTCAGGAATACTCAATGACATACTGTGTGGAAACACCCATAGCCTAGCCCACAGTTTTCAGGACAGTATTTTTTCCCCAGACACATATTTGCAGACTGGTTCTTCTAGAAGGACAGCATATCTAATCTCTTTAGTTCTAAATGAACATCTCTGGAACATGGAGTTACTAATGTTTTCAGTGATTCAGAAGTCTGTCTAAACAAACAAACACTTATGAACCATGTATTTGGATATACACAAAAAGCAGACTGCAGAGAAGTAAATCTTATATTGCATTTCCAAATTCTGAAACCACAGAATTTCTTTTGCTTCAAAAAATTCATGCCATCAGAATTAATTGTACTACCAAACCAGAAGAAAATGACATTCTCAGGGTAAAATGGTGAATGTTTGTACAAAAAGATCAAAATTCAAGAGTATTTGTTAGTCAAGACTGAGCTGTAATAAGCTAGTTCTTGAGGAAGACAGAAAATAAACTATTGTCAGGGTCTAGCTGGCACACTATCCCATGCCTTCAGTATTATTTCCCTGATAAAAGGTGCTTTCAGCATTAATACCATTGTCTTTGAAGATATGCCACTTCCTAGGGTTACGCAGCGTCTGCATAAAGTTTGGAAAAGGTAGAAAAAAGTCCCAGCAGTCATTACACTGCTTTGTAATTTTCTAATTTTCTAATTTTCTAATCTTCATCAAATAACAAGGTCTTTATGTGATTCCGTTGTTGTCTATAACTCTATAACTCTATAACCAGTACTAATCCTTTTAGACTCTATGAGGTCAATATACTAAATAGAAAGAAAGGGAAGAGTACCGAGTTTGTACTTCTCTTTTTTTTTTTTTTCCTACCTGCTTCCTGAAGTGATGAACACCTATAAAAGCAGCCAGAGGATGAAATGTATGAGAAACATTCAGACTTCACATTTCACCAAGCTTTGGTTGAATGTTCTTCCTCTACAGGAAGCACACTTCCTTTAGATGTCAGTGGAAGTAGATGAGGATCTTGTTTTTCTTTGCTTTGTGTCTCCTGACCTTTACTTTTGTATTGTCTTTTTTTTTTTCTTTTTCTTTTCTCTCTCCCTTTCTATTCTTAAACTGCTTTCTTAAGATCCGCTGCATTTTATTAACTTCAAGTATCTCAATGATTCATAAGTGGTTCATAAGTTTGTTTAGACAGACTTCTGAAACACTGAAAACATTAGTGACGCCAAGTTCCAGAGTTGTTCATTTAGAAATAAAGAAATTAGATATACTGTTCATCAAGAAAAAGCAAGTGTTAGCTTCAGGGTGAAGCCACATTTCTGGCTTACCAGGAAACTGTGCACAAAAACCTAGGCAATGAATTGAGGAAAGCTCCCTGTACAGGAGGGATTAGCCAGGGAGCCTCTCAGTGAAGCAGGGACCTAAGTATCACAGAGATCAATATTTGTTTGTTACACACATAGCATGAATGAGTAGACTATTTTTATTACAACTTTTTCAGAATTCCATTGCATATACTCAAATTATAAAATAAATTCCAACATATCAGTTAGAGAAGCAGACTGAGATAGAAGCAACTGTCAGGTTATCACTGGAAGAGGACAAAATTAGAAAGGCCACTTGGGAGGGATCCAGCATGAGCCATCTCAGAATGTTATTAGGAGACTGCTATTTTCTTCTGCAATAGCAGATACTTTAAATCCTTTCTTTCAGATTGATGGAGCTAAAAATGCAGAATCACTCCTCCATCAGTTACAAGCTTCACCACTTGCTCCATCTTGTCATTTTAACAGTGACAAACAATGTATCCCACCTCTGATACAGCACAGTACATTTTCAGAGCAACCTAATACTTACTTGCTGAAATTAACAAAAAAATTCAAAAGCCTCCCTCATCAAAATTTTAAAATATCTAAATGGAGATGGGAGGAAAAGGAAGAAAGCATTGCTGAGTAATGTACTCCTACAATAATTTTCCCTCCTTATCCTGAAGTTGGTTGAGATTGAAAACTTTATCTTGAAGGACGAGGCTGCCTGACCTTGCTGATTTCTGAACAAGCTCAGGAACCACTTCATTACAATGCCAAACGATAGCATAAGGACACTGCTGTGAAATATGATTGCTTAAGATTACTCTTCCTTCTTTGTTTTCACTGAGCAGTTTCAGTACAAAAAATGTGGCAGAGCAAGATCAATTTCCTTGTTAAGTTACTGAGCACTCTTAGAGTCTATCAGAGTTACCGTACATCGCACAGACTATTTTTCCAAACAGGTTACACCAGGCTATGCTATCCTTTACTGGCATTTGTGAACAGAACTTGGAAAACCACACTGCTTTAGATTTTATTATGTATTTTGCTGAAGTTAAATGACCTAGTTTACCCTAAAATGATGAGTATTAATGAGGAATATAAGTGGACTGCTGAGATTCTTTATGCCACAGATTTTACCCAACTCTTTTACTTATGAGTAATGTTCTATTAGGATAATACGGATCTTTTAAGCGGTATGTCAATCTGTACAGCTTATATCAACAAAAAGGTAATTTAATGTTCTACTAAGTTCTCCTATCTATGGCAGACTCATTATCATTACTCAATTACTCAGGAAATAAAAAACCATCCATCTTATGGACAGATCCTGGTTCTCCATTTCTATTCTCAAAGACCAAAATTATCTTCAAACAGTAAAGAATTAAAAAGCCTTCTCGCCTGATGCAATGCACTAACCCCTCTTGTTGGCCATAACCATCATGTCATTACTCCACCTCTAGCTTTGTAAAGAAAACACTTTTTCCAAAGACTCATGCTCTTTTTCAGTCTTGCAGACAAAGGCACAAAGGTGGACACCATGGATATGGATAACATAATCCAGATATATTTATGTTCCAGTTAAATTATACCATTTGTAAAGGATAACAGTGTTTAGAAAGTTGCCAACAGAAATAAACAAACACTGTTATTTGGACATCATTTTTCTTTTTTTTTTTTTCCCTATGGCTTGCAGAACCTTTCTAGGAAAGAATTTTATCCACAGTGATATACTAGCCATGAACAAGGCAGAATGATCTCTAATTTGGACAAAAATTTTTGTCAAACATAAAGCAAGTGAAAACAGCTAAAATATTGAATCCTAAGCCTTGCACGATCCAAAACAAAACAGAGGCCTTGCATTTTTTGCAAGATTTTTCTGTTTGTAAATGCAAGACAGTTCACTTCATTAGTATTATGGGGAAGATCATACTATGGCATAAACCTCTTTTCAGCACCTTTAAAGCAACTTTCTTATGTCAGTACATATAAACAAAATCATTATACCAAATTCTATGTCACAGACTATTTTTAATAAGACTTTCTTTCTCTGTGTAGGTTTGGCTGGTTCAGCCTAAAAGCAGTGTTCAAGTGTAGCAAAATCAATTCACCACTTTTTTCTACTTGTTTCCCTACTTGGGTTGTAGGTCAGACTAGTGACATTTTAAAAAATTAAGTCATTATGAAAGACCATGGGAAGGCCTATTTTGTCAGTCAGCTTCAGCTACACCTGAAAATTACAGCTGACTTCAGAGAGAAACCAGCTCATTCATATAGCCATTTCAGTCACAGTGTGAGTTACACAGAATTGCAGAGTTACTTACAAATTTACGTGCTAAAAGAACTCAATTTAAATGTTTCATTTCTTCCTACCTAGATTTTAACCATATACAAGAAGAGTCACAGAAACACTACGATACCATATTAAAACTTAATTTTGCATGCCTCAAGATAACAGAAGCCAGAGTGGAAAAGTTTGCACACTTGCATTCAGCTCCTAGTTTTCACCTACTTTTTAACTATCCTATGAAGCACAGTGTGACAAGCTCCCTTCGGAAGAGAACAGGTTCTGTGCAATATCATGATAATCAGACAAGCGATTTCCACTCGCTATGATGTGAACATGCTATCTGATGAGCACAAACACATTTCCTAAAAGAATACATTTTAGACTACTATCTTATCTGACATGGAAGGGCACTGGGCACAAGAGATACGTGTGCAAACAGACTTCAGTTCTTACATATAGCAAACCACAATGTAATGTGTTCAGTAATAAATGAAGGTTATATTTATCTTAGACTTCCTATCTGCAACTTTTTGCTCCTAAGAGGCATCTTTTCAGTGAAAAGCAGAATCAAGCATGCAATATATTTACTGATATAAAAACAAAAATCAGAATTAAAAAAGCACCAACCTCCTCATCAACATTATGGGCAATTCCATTCTGCACTGGTCCTGAATCGCTTGGTGGTGTTACTGCAACTTCCACTTTTGCACCTTTCTCTGTGGTATTATCCGTAAATAAGAGCAAGAAAACAACACAGTATTAAAAACCAAATCTATTAGTGAAACTGCAGTCACGTATTTAGCCTGTTGAAATCATCAAATACTGACAGTGGACAAACCTTAAAAAGAGAGAGACCAAAATCCTGGCTTTTGTTTGACCACATTTTGAATCAATTTCTTGTAAGTAGCAAACTTGCGTTTGAAGAAGCCATCATAGTGGGAACTGTGTTCTAGAAAAATGTACATTCTTTGCAATACTGCATGCTCCTTATGCTAAACTGAGCATAACATTTCAGGTAAACTACAATATATAATGTTCTACACACTGAAGAATGCAAGTGAGGGGTTGCTTTCAAGAAGAAATAACTTCTGTAACACACTAACCTCTGCAGTTTCGAAAGTTACTTCCAAACTGTAATAAAGTTCCTTCTTCTTCAAAAATACAGGATAAGAATGAATGGATGACCTTTAAAACAGAATCCTATTGCCCTTGTGCAAAACTGTACAAGGGATTAAAGGAATAAAACTGGGCCTTCAGTTTCTGACAGAACATTTATTCAAATTTTTTTCTGACTTAGTCTATCTTGGAATTCTCCTAACAGCTATCACCGCTTTCGGTATGTGCCAGATGAAAATGTCAATGGCCAAAAATCCCTTGGACAATTTGAAGTAATGGGGAATAGCAATAAGAAATGTCTTATACAAGTTCATCGTGCATTATGGTATGCTCTTATGAACGTAAGTAAATACAGCTGTCAAGTTACATTACTGCTACCCAGAGATTCCTCTAAATTAAAAATCTGAGATCACAGCCAAAGCTGAGAGCCAAGACCGTCTTTAATTATTTCAGTATTTCTTAACCCCACACTCAGCATTATGGTTTATCAACTGTGTCCCATTCAGTTGCTCGACTGAGGAAGTAAATTTTGTCTAAACATAGCACGAGGTCAGGAAAAGTATCATTTGAGAAAATGATTCAGCTTTTATCAGACACATTTGCATATGGTTTTCTAATGCAGAGAATATGCCATGGTAGACAAAGGATAATATGGATTTCCTTTTGGTATAGGAACTTTTGAAGTAAAAGACAAATTCTTGCCCTCAGTGAAAAGCCACTGTGAGCTAATTCCGTACAATTAATACAGATGGGCTTAAATGACTTTCAACAACTAGTAGATTCACAAATAAAATCTTAAATAGGAAGGTTGTTTCTCTTTGAGGCAGGGGGTGTACTACATAGAACACATATAATCCTAGAGCAGTGGTTCTTGTTCTACAGAGACTATACCCATCACTCTGTAACGTAGAAGCTACTTGTGTGAAATTTCTGATAGGTTTCACTTACTCTCTAGAAAACTTTTAGAGCTCCATAAAATGAGAACTGGTGAACATTGTTTCCTCTGGATAGGTAAAATATGCATGTATGGCTGGATTCAGTACATGGAACAACAGGGCAAAGCACCACTAAGAAACGAGCTGGTAATGCTATAAATCACCTGAGACTACCTCAGTTATCTGTTCGGATTGTGGGGATGGTGTTTATTTTGCAGAACTGATTAACAAAACTTTTCCTTTAACAACACTGCACTGGGGCTGAGCTAACTGTAATTGTGTTGCTGTCCTCTACTCGTGCAAGTGGTTCAGAAACGCAGACATGGAGAAACCACAGAGCTTAGTCATACTGGTCAATACTCTCTTTAGACCTATGGGTTGAACAAGCAGATTACAGGGAACAACAACAGCAGCAATCTGCCCCTGCGTCAACCTTTCACAACTCAATAAACTCACTGAATTTTGACAGGTAAGTTTTGCATCTTTATTTCTGCCAGTTCCTCACTTGTCCAAAATCAGTACTGCATTTATCTCTTCAGTCCTCCTAGGAGGCTTTCTAACTGCAAATCAGACCTTCTCATCTTGCACTTAACTCCTGTACTATCTTCAGATTTCATTCTCTTTTCTATAGGGAATCAGAATATGTTTAGCAAGACAGTAAAAACAAAGCAATAGAGGAATTAACCTCTAAGGATTTACAAGCAAAATGAAACAGTGAAAAACAGTCTCAAGAACACACAACAGATCTGCATGGCTGCACTCACCATGATTAGCAGCTCCATTCTGCCTTTCACTGTCTTCCACCTGGCACTTCTTTTTGGCGATCTTATGCAGAATTGAGGCCCTCTCCTTGAATTTTCCTAAAAGAAAGCATTATCATTATTCAGATGCAGATATTTTGAGAGGCAAAGTTTGTTTGCCATAGCTTAGGATCCAAAAATCACTGCTAACAATCCATTTCCATCCTTCCCCAAAAGCAAACGCTATTAAACACTATCTGATGTTCTTACTAACGCTTTTTTGTTTGTTTGTTGTTTTTTTTTCTTCCCGTTTTGCGAACTCTGCAAGAAGTAGAACAAAAAATGGAATCCAACGTTTCTTCTGAAGCAGTCAGTAAAGTTCCACCTAAAAAACTACTGGTGTAGGATCTGAGGCTAAAGAGAAGATGAATACAGATGAATATGGATATTACGAACAAATACACACAGTTTCAGGTCTCAGCTAGTAGCACAGTACAACAGAATTTATGATGAACCCATACACCACATTATTGTGGGTGTGGTCAATCTTGTCACTTTGCACTCAGTATGCCCCCATAAATTCTACTGATACTTCAGATAGGAATGATGAAATCTTCAGAACAAATTATTTCCATGCCAGCTTCTCAAAGGAAAACTTCCATCTCACCATGTTGTCTCCCATGAGGTTAACTGGGAGTTATACAGCTGCCTTCAGGACAACTCATCTCCTCCGAAAAGAAAGCCCCAAGTCCTATTGCTCTTCATTGATCAGTGTTTCCAAATGATACATTCATACTAGGCAATGTCAAAGTAGGCAAACTTAAGCAAAACAAATTCACTCCTTCCTCCACTTTAGTTGATCTGTCTACGTAAGAGCTCTTTGGATAGCTTATCATAGCACATGTGTTGTAGACAGATGCTGTATGCCCTTCTCTATTGCATCCTCATTGGTTTTGCTTTATAGGACTTCTTTTCTCTTTTTTAAAGTATAAGTTGTTGACTAAAGTATATAGCATTATTAGATAGAGGTTTTGCAGTTTTTAGCTATTCATCTCCAGTTTAAAATTCCACTGAAAATAGTTGAAACACTGAAAATCAACACTAAAAGTTGAAACACTAAAATCAACAAAAAACACTGAAATAAAAAAGACAGCAGGCTTAAGGTCAAAATATATTTCAGTGGAATCACATAATTGATTAGCAATGCAAAATACTACTGGTCATGGATGAACACAGGTAGCTGGATAACAGAAACAGATCACTGTTTCCAAGTTAAAATAAAAGACATACAAGAAACAATCGTTGGTTAAGAAAGAAATCCTCCCTTCCCTTCTCACAAATCAAAGATTATCAGAAACTACACCATCACAAGAAGTAGGTTCAAATGCATGTATTAAAGCCTTTATATGTGCAGAAACTTATGCACAGTACATAGGGACTAGCAGTTACCATTCACTTGGAAGTGGAATTCTCACATCAACAACAAATCACTTGGAGAGAATTAAAACATCACCAAGTCCTAACAAGCAGTATTATCCTTCCAGCAGCCCCTATCTTTTCATTAGCATATCATGCTCAGTGTAGGTAACTAAACAGCGGGAGGAAATGATTAAAAGACATAAAATCAAGTACCGAAAGCTCCTGAAATGAAGCTTCATTGCTGTAAAAAAAGTACCACCAGTCTGTCTGAAGACAGAGCAAAGTAAAAGAACACAGGCCTATGACTCCCCTTTCCATTTGCCTTCCCTTTTTGTCTATAAGTTTCAAACAAACCAAATCAGACCTTGTTCAGCAAAGGGGAAGGACAGACCCACATGGACAAAGAACCACCCCGGGAAATTTCAGAAAGCCCCACAAATTTTGACTTAGGCACAGATCTTGCATGTCTTTTTTCTCTCAACTCCTGGTGTCATTAAAATAACCCACAGGAATTCAATGCCGTCATTATTGTTCTAGGAGAAGCTAGAAGTGTGTATTTCCTATATGCTGTAGGTTTTTATACCCAAGCATAGTTTTCACAGCAATTGGTTTCACAAGTGTTTGGATTGATGAAAATATTTGACAGCACAGACCTGAAATAGGATATTCGTTCCAGAAAATACTTATTTAATGTAGATTTGCTGAACTCTGACAAATGTTGCAGTTCATTTTAGTTTAGAAAGAATAGCTCTGCAAGAACAAGAGATCAAGGCCAGATGATTAGCAAAGAAGGTAGCTTAAAACTGAATTGGTTATATTTGAATATATGCAAACAAATCAGTATTGTGTAATACATACACCTTGATCTGCATGAGTAACTCCAGCTGGCATCAGAAGGAAGAGATTTTCTTGCTGATCATGAATATATTAAAAAAATGCAATCCTTGGACTACAATCTAAATTACAGACTACAGATTCCTTGCATGAGAAGCCTCCGATTTTACAGAAAAGTAATTGATCTTCAGAAATTCACTTGTCTAAAAATTTAAGACTTTACAATTTGTCTACTTCTCAGTCTCAGATCAAACACAATCTACTACATCTATGCACAACCAGCACCACAGCTAAGCTTTCATGTATCAGAAGACACCAAATCTGTGGCTGCTGAGCAGTCAGAACTGTGCGTTCCAGTCCTGCTGATGCCCGGTTGTGGAACACATCTGAGGGGTGGCAACTGATCAGTTGTGGAAATTCATCTCACGTGATTTCAGCTTGAACTGTAAATTGCTGCAGAAGTGCCACCTGAAAATAAATGTAGTTTTGTCAAGTCCTAGGCTGCTGGTTGAGGTTACTTGACAGCACAGGACTACTGCAAGGGTTTTTTCCCATCCGGTATGGTCTATCACTTCTTTAAGTTGGGCAATTGATTAATCAGCAATTAATATAAATTTCTGACTAAACAGAAGCAAATAAAACGGAGATCAGTTTCAAAAACATGGAGCCCAGAGGCCCTCTGGCTGTATCTGCTATTGCCACCTGTCACTTTCGCCTACAAAAATAGATGTGCCTGTGCTTCTCCACCAGAGGATGAAAAATCTGCTGCCTCTCTCCACTCAGGGCTTGGAGGTCCCGGGGTAAGGTTGTATGACATTAGAAAAAACTAGAAATCTGCAACTGGTTTTACATGTTTCTGTGGCTAACTTATTGCAGAAGATGTATAAAAACCTAATTCAAGGAGAAAAAAAAAGAAAATAAAGCGTGAAAGGGATGATGAAAATAAGTGTGATGTGAAGTGTGTAGGGATTATACTTCTGAATATTCAAATAGAGAACTGAAAATATAACGCACGTTGATCTAATTGCAGCTTCTAAGGTATTCTGTTCATTATTGCTTTATGAAAGACATGAAAATGATGGTGACAGTTGTGTTTAAGCTAAATTGTATCATAGGCTCTTGTCAGTGTTAATGCTTCTTCAGACAAAGAGCTTCCTTCCTTCTTTTTGTTACTGGAAGATTTTTGCTACTGGATTTTAGCTACTGCTACAGCATGCTCTTTGATTGTTTATTCATGAGGAGGGCTTTCTGAGGTGACATTGAATATTAATAGCATTACTTCAGTGTAGGCACAGTAATAATAAGTACATATATTATACATAGCATACTTGCAAGGATATTTTCCCACAAGTAGCTATATTTAACTAACATAACAGGATTTATAAAAAACCGAAGACAACTTACGCAGAAATCGCTTTTGAAAAGGCAGGTTTAGTACTACGGAATAAAATATTAGAACTTTAATATATCCAACTCTGAGGCTAGAACTAGAAATGACATTCACAGCTTGACTGGAGATCAGACATACTGCAAAAGCTTTATTTCTGGTAGCCCTATCTTAATTGATTCTGCTGACTACTCATTTCAGGCACTTTAGGGTCCTTCAGAAGTGTTCTTACACAGCACAGAGACTGATGTTTGCCAGGTAAAATCTCCTGTCAAGAATTATCTCTTATATTGGAACCAACCCTGTGAATCAGACAGTGAATCTGTGCAGTTAAGTGTGGTGCTACTGGGCTGCCCTACAAGTTGATGGTCATGCCTGCTCCAGAAGAAACCACCATCAGTCAATGATAGAAGGAACCATCTTTCATAGATGGCCCCAGAATAATATGGACTTATTTGAGCAGCAGCAGTACATACAGAAAATGAGAAGCAGTCAAAAGTTACCAATCGCGACAAGAGTAAGTCTATAATGAAGGTTTTCTATAAACCTTTTTAATATCAAGATCAACCTAAACTATAATCTAAACTTGAATATGACTGTGTTTATAAATACAGAGAAAATAAGCTCTTCACCTTTTATGTTCAGCATTAAAAATAAGTAGGGATAGTTAGTTAACCTTTCAACAGATCTCAACCTTATTTCTCTCCTCAGATAGGCCACTAACTACTTATCTGAGCACTCACAACATCTGCCAGGCATCCTAGTCAAAGAGTTGTACAACAGCCTCGATCTTATAGAACTCAGGACTCAGGCCTGGAAAATTTTGAATTACAGAAATGCTGATGAATTCGGACTGAAAATGTGGGAGAAACTAAGGAACTGCACTCCTGAATAAATATAGTTAACTGTAATGCTTTTTATTAGCTGAAGAACTCCCCAAGATTTCAGTGAGCCCTGATTTAGACCCTAATTACTTCCTTCCTGTATTGTTAGAATCAGGATTTTAAGTTGAATACCTTCTGCATTGCAATTAAGCATGCAATTAGTTTTCCACAAATACTCATGCCTACTTTTTAGAATTCATTCATTACTTTTGAGTAATACAGTAAACTGAAGTCAGTACATAATTTTTCTCAAGCCGAGAGGTTTAGCCAAGTGATTTCAATATCCATAAACAATCTTCCTGAATGCACTGTAGAATATTACAAAATGAGCATTTGTAATTCATACTATACTGCAATATGTAACTTATCAGTGTGGTTTTGCATGTACATTCTTTTTTAGCTGTATTTCCTTATCTGAAAGTAGCAAAACTGAAAAGTTGAAAATAAAAACCAGAAAAAAAGAACCAAAGCTTATTGCACTGTCAATGAGGTCATGCAAAAAGGAATCATTCAAAAATGGAGAAACTGAAAACAGAACAAAGAAAAATGAAATAAAAAGTAAACACAGAAAAGCCTTCGAAAGAAGCTGATACAAA